TCTGACTTTGAAGAAAACTTGAGTCTTTTCTGTTTCATTGCCTAGTTAATCATTGTTAATTGTTTATCTTTTTATAATCTTTTCTATTGTTTTACATATCTATTGTCATTTATTCCACACTTTTTAAATTAAATTATTTGTTTTAATTTGTTATACTAATGACAAAATGCAAGGCATTTCATATTAAACATAGATTACAATTTTTTAAGTCACTGTCCACAAAGTATTTTTACATCATTTTTGTCTTTATACATATACTTAGGGTAAGGATGTCTAGCTCATTCCACCATCATTCCTACCTCCTTGCCCCCTTCTTTCCCCTCCCTCTTCTTTGCCCTATCTAAAGGTCCTCCATTCCTCCCATACTCCCCACCCTATTGCCAAAATGAGTCAGCATCCTCATATCAAAGAAAATATCCTGCCTTTGGTTTTCTGGGATTGGCTTACTTTAGTTAGCATTATATTCTCTAACTCCATCCATTTACCTGCAAATGCCATGATTTTATTCTCTTTTATTGCTGAATAATATACCATTGTGTATATATGCCACGTTTTTATCCATTCATCTATTGAAGGGCGTCTGGGTTGGTTCCACAATTTATCTATTGTGAATTCTGCTGCTATAAACATTGATGTGGATGTGTCCCTGTAGTATGCTTTTTTTAAGTCCTTTGGGTATAGACTGAGGAGAGGAATAGCTGGGTCAAATGGTGGTTCCATTCCCAGTTTTACAAGTGTTTCCCATACTGCTTTCCATATTGGCTGAATAAATTTGCAGTCCCATCAGCAATGTATGAGTGTGCCTTTCTTCCCACATCCTTGCCAACATTTATTGTTTGTATTCTTAATAGCTGCCATTCTGACTGGAGTGAGATGAAATCTTAGAGTACTTTTGATTTGCATTTCTCTAATTGCTAGAGATGTTAAACATTTTTTTCAGATGTTTGTTGATGGATTGCATATCCTCTTCTGAGACATGTCTGTTCAGTTCCTTGCCCCATTTATTGGCTGGGTTACTTGTTTTTTCAGTG